TTTCTAGGTATGTAGCCTTCCTCAATAAATTTTTAGAAACTGCAGAGACATACTTTATGGTTGGACATAGGGTGAACTATTACATTTTCACAGACAGACCAGAAGAAGTTCCTAAAGTTCCACTCAAAGAAGGAAGGAATGTAGTGGTTCTGCAAGTCCAAAACTACCCTAGGTGGCAAGAAATCTCTATGCGACGAATGGAAATGATCAACTCCTTCTCTCAGCAGCGGTTCATTAATGAGGTCAGCTACGTAGTGTGTGTGGATGTAGACATGAGGTTTAATGACCAAGTTGGAGTGGAGATCCTGAGCGACTTGTTTGGCACACTACACCCAGGTTTCTATGCTGCAGAGCGTCAGTCTTTCACCTACGAACGTCGACCTGCTTCTCAAGCTTATGTGCCCAGAGATGAGGGTGACTTCTACTATGCTGGAGGCTTTTTTGGAGGAACAGTAATGGAGGTTTACAAGTTGACCAAGAAATGCCATGAAGCTATTATGATGGACAAAGCCAAAGGAATTGAGGCAATCTGGCAAGAAGAGAGTCACTTAAACAAGTATTTTGTTTACCATAAACCAACCAAAATACTTTCCCCGGAATACCTGTGGGATGACAATATGGGTAGGCGAGAGATCCTTAAGAAAAGAAGGTTTCTTGCTGTACCAAAGAACCATGCTGCAATCAGAAATAAATGAAGTTCATCTCCGGCTGGTCTTAGTGCGAACTAACATAACTGATCTTGTAGGTTTCCTTGGTTGATGAAAATATACAGACAATTGGTAAAAGCTCCATAACTTTTTTTGACATTCCCAGTATTTCTTGATATGGGAATGATTTCAAGATGACACTATGTTACCATAAGGAGAAGGCATGCATCTGATGAAGTGGGAATTCACCCACAAAAGCTTATGCTCCAATACGTCTGTTAGTCTATAAGGTACCACAGGACTCTTTGTCACTTTTTACAGATACAGTCTAACACGGCTACCCCTCTGATACTTGATACCATAAGGATAGTTTGCTGATTCCAACAATTTCATTGCCAAAAATAAATTGGTATTTGTCTGCAATAGAGCTGTACCAGCAATAGGTTGTGCCTAGTGTTGGGGAAATATAAAGAGACTTGTAGATTCAGATGCTTATTCAAACCTCTCTTGGCTGGACATCTGATGCAAAGAAGCTTTCATGAGACTTGCAGTGCGTCCTGGTTTTATTTGGGACAGAACTGATGTGGAAACATAGAAATACCAAAATATCTCTTATTTGTTACCAGAGCCAAAATCTCTGGGTGGCTGTGTGTTTAAAAAAAAAAATGAAATTGAACCAGATAATTTTTTTTAGAAGAGCAAAAAATCTAGTTAATTTGATTTTTCTCGGTGGTTTGGGCTGCCCCGAATCTGTATGATACTTGAAATGCGTCTCAAGGTTCAGTTGCTTCCAACCCTGTGGTGCTCTCTGACTTGCAAAATACACTTGAAAATGAAATAATCTTGTGTCTCAACAGTTTATCTGGATCCATCTTTTCAATCTCAGCTGGCCCAGAATGATATCAAATCTTTAGGTTATCATCTAATTTATAATGAAGAAAGCTCAGGGTTATCAGATCTATTTTCAATTAATTTTCTCTCCTGAAGGAGACAAAACTATGGTTAAAAGACCTTAGCTTCCTGGGGAGAAATGGCTGGAGAAGTATGACAATGGAAAGCAACTCCATCTGCTATTTGTAGAGCTCCTAATACCTCACAAATCTTTGGGCCCTCAAAAGACAGACGTTGTCTCTCTGCACCAAAGATTGCTTAACAAATGTCAGTAAAAGAGACCAAATGAGGATGTAATGAGTTTCATTTGGATAACAGTATGTGCTGGAATAAGATGGCTGGTAGAGCCCTCTTCTGTACCAAATTCTGCTTCCAGTTACGCTCTATTAGTTTCTCTTGGGTTTTTAAATAGCACCTATCACCATGGTATCTATGCGATTGGGTTAGCAGGTTGTAACTGAGAGGGGAATTTTTTTCCTCAAAGTCACTTGTAGAAGGGAATTGAAGTGGCTTGAACAGAAATGTTGGAAGATTTTCTCCTCACAACAAGGTCTATTCAATGTATTTCCCTGTAGTGGGTGTTCTAATTGAAAATGGGAAGATCAGTTAAGGAAGAGGCTAAAACAAGACGTGCCCAATTCTGCTCCCATTTAAGTCAATACAGGATTTGTTGGTGACCTCAGTAGAAAGATATATATATAAAATACACACACACAATCCAGGGTACAATTGAGTTTCTTGCAACACTCAAGGTGTGTCTTAGTGCATTCACTGGCAACCTGGAATGCACTGTCGTACTAATACATGGTTTATTGGGGGAGTGGGCAAAAGCAAGTGATTAAAGCAGGGTTTCTCAAACTTTGTACTGGTGACCCCTTTCACACAGTAACCCTCTCAATGCGACCCCCACCCCTTATAAATTAAAAACACTTTTTAATATATTTAGCACCATTATAAATGCTGGAGGCAAAGCAGGGTTTGGGGTGGAGGCTGACAGCTTGTGACCCCCCATGTAATAGCCTCATGACCCCCTGAGGGGTCCCGACCCCCAGGTTGAGAACCCCTGGATTAAAGTACTGTACAATAAACATGAGAGGCAGCAACATCTAGTAATCTGAGTACAGGCCTGCGAGCCAAAAACATCTACATTCACCTGAATGGCTGTAGCCTATTAGAACTTCCTCCTGACCCAAAAAACCTCCCTCATTTAGATTTGTGTATATCCTTGTCAATAATTAAGTGTCTTGCAAAACATTACAATCTCTGCTACTACTGATCTATGATTAAGGCTGATCCAGCAGAAAATTCTATTTCCTTCACTCTGGTCCCCACGTAGGTTTCAATTAGCGCATGGGCCTTGCCAAAACTGACTGTTGCTGGAGACTTCTGGAGCCACACTGGCCCACGTGTTTTGGACTATCTCAGGACACAATTTGTTTAGCTAGAATAGGTTGGAGGATTAATATGATAGTGGCTACATCTCTAAAAATTACCTCCCAGAACTGTTTTGGAAATGCTCTAACTCACAGGAAGTTTGGTTTTCTAGATCAATGATTGTAGCCAAACAGCTTATTGCTTAGATAGAAAAGCACATTGCTTCTGGGGATAGAAGCTTGGCCCAGTAATATGAGGACTTAGCAGCTAAAAAGAAGATAATGTTTTGGAGAAGAGGGACCTCAGACAAATTTGAAAAGATTTGGTCAAACTTTTTCAAAACCTGTTATTAATTCCTAGTGAATGGAAACCAAGATGTCGCTCTTCTTTCCTCTCCCTGCCCCATTTCCTTCTCCTCTCTCCGCCTATTCCTTTACTTTTCTGTTTTCTGCCTCTCTCTCCCCTCCCCCCATTCTCCCTTTATTTAGCAGTGGGGAGAAACAGATATTTTTAAATAAAATATAAATGAAAACACTTCTGAATTCTATTAGTGGCTCTGACATTTTTTCCTGTGCCTCAGTTTTCTCCTCAACAAAATGGGAATAATAATAGTCACTGATTGTAAAGTGCTAGGTAGATACTGTCATTATTAATCTAGCAAATAAAAGTTTTATGCAGACAGTGAATGGCAAAAAAATCTGCTCATTTTTTTCTTGAGAAGCAAAACGTTTTATAAGTGAATTTCATACTGGTGGTGGAAGCTGCTGCCTTGGCAGCCTTGAAAACTGAAGACTCCTTCTTATTCACACCATAAGTCCTTGCAGAGGTGGCAGCAGTACAAGCTTCTACCAAATTGCTTCACTTATGTGACTCAAACCCAGATTCATAGAGTCCATGCTGCGTAAATGTGGTTCAGACTCAGTGGATCAGTCAGTTCTTGGCCTCTGCCAGGGGCGGATTTACCATTAAACATAGGATGCCCTAGCACCAGGCCCTCCAACAACAGGGGGCCTCAGGGCCGGAAACTTGGGCAGCTCAGCACTGACGAGAATCACAGCCAATGGGAGCTGCAGGGGGCACGCAGAGCCACCTGCACCCCCCCGCATCAAACGGGAGCTGCCCGTAAGCGCTCTGCACCTCCAACCCCGTGCCTACCCCAGCCCTGAGCCCCCTCCCACACCCAGACCCCGCACCCCCAGCCCTGAACCCCCTCCTGCACCCTAACTCCAACCCAGACCCCACACCTCCAGCCCTGAACCCCCTCCTGCACCGTCTCACCCAGACCCTGCACCCCAACCTGCTCCCGCACCCATACTCCCTCCCAGACCTTGCACCCCCAGCCCTGAACCCCCTCCCGCACCCTAACTCCCTCCCAGACCCCACACCGCCAGTCCTGAACCCCCTCCCGCACCCTAACTCCCTCCCAGACCCCGCACCCCCCAGCCTTGAACCCCCTCCCCTTTGGGGGAGGGAGGGAGGGATAGCTCAGCGGTTTGCACATTGGCCTGCTAAACCCAGGGTTGTGAGTTCAATCCTTGAGGGGGCCAGTTGGGGATTGGCCCTGCTTTGAGCAAGGGGTTGGACTAGATGATGTCCTGAGGTCCCTTCCAACCCAAATAATCTATGATTCTCCCACACCCTAACTCCCTTCCAGACCCCACACCCCCAGCCCTAACTCCCTCCCAGACCCCACACCCCCAGCCCTGAGTCCCAAGAGGAGACTAGAGAAAAAAAGAATGAAGAACCAGGGGGCGGGGAGATAAAAGAGAATGCTCCGGGGGGGGACAATGAAGCTGAGCACAGGGCCCCACTAACGCTAAATCCGCCACTGGCCTCTGCTGAGACCTGTTGGTACCGGCAGTAACACTGGTGCACTGAGACCAGCACCACCTTTCCCAGAGCCACTGCGTGAGCAGCCAGCAAATGGCATCAGCTGGGCGGGAGGCAGCGCCTCGGTGCAGCAGGCCCCTCAGGGACAACACAAGCCTCAAGCCGCTTCCCTGCGTTTCCATGGCAACAGGCGACCGCTCGAGAACTCGTGCCTGAGTTTAAAGGTTCTCGCGAGAAGAGGAGCTCTCCCACCCGCTCTGCCTCCTGTGCCTGGGGTTACCATGGAGACGAGGAGACTCTTGGCCTAGCCGGGAAGCTGCGCTGGGAGCTGGGCGGCTATTCAGGTAGTAGCGTGCTGGAGAGATGAACCGGCCCCGTCCTGCTGTGGGAGGGGGTGCTGGGGAGAGTGACCCCCTGTCTCTGCTGGGGGGATGGTAGAGTGCGCCCCGCTCTGGTCCTGCCTGGAGGTTGGTAGAATTCCCTCCCCGTCGCCATCTCAGAGCATCAGAACCTCGCTGCTTCTCCTGTCTCTAACCCACAAGCCCAATTCACTACAGCGCTAGCGGCCTCCTCCCATTTCTCAGCAAAGGTGCAAGAGCCGAGGGGGGAGGTGTCTTTCTAGGAGCTGTGGGGGGAAACTGCACCATGGGAAGAGCGTTCTCATGTGGGTTTATATCACTCGGTCTCCATGATGTTCACACCCTGTCCTGTGTGACACATGCAGTCCTCTGAAGTCTCCTAACAGATCTAAAAGGAAGGCACACCTAACGCAACCAACTCCCCAAGTGCGATGTGTTCTGATCGCTTACTTACGAAATGTGACAATGTTGTAACCCGCAATAGCTGCTGGGCCATCAGCGCAATCAGCGAGGCTCTGCTGCCTAGAATCTAGGTTATGGAAGAAATGCTGGAAATTCACAGCTGTGATCTTCATTAATAGTTTTCAGGATGGTCATCGTCATTGTTTTTTGATGCATCTGAAGAAGTGGGTTTTTTACCCATGAAAGCTTATGCCCAAATAAATCTCTTAGGCTTTAAGGTGCCACCGGACTCCTTGTTGTTTTTTGAGTTTCTGTAGGTAGAAACTTTTCATAACATTTCTCTTAAAGCCCTGATCTTGCAGAAAGCAACAGAGGGTCCTGTGGCACCTTTGAGACTAACAGAAGTACTGGGAGCATAAGCTTTCTTGGGTAAGAACCTCACTTCTTCAGATGCAAGACATCTGAAGAAGTGAGGTTC